GGGGGGGGGGGGGGGGGGGGGGGGGGGGGGGGGGGGGGGGGGGGGGGGGGGATACCGACACCCGCAGCAACGGTACGGCGGAGGGTTGATAGCAAGAAGGTGCACACGAAGCGGTTTTAGGCGGGCATGGCTACGAGATTCACATCAAGCGCCCTGTCCGGTCAGAGTACGTTTGCTCCAGTTCTTTTTCTGTGTACCGTGCAGGAAGAGTGAAAGCGAGGCCCAGGGGCTGAGACTTTGAGCGCCGCGAATCCCACCCCCGATTGCTCAACCGCACACATAGGGCATACTTTCTCGTCACGTAGCCCAGAAAACCGTGGTCGGAGGAACACCCACGCACACCCGTCAGCTGCTCCCCTATAATCGCCCCCCCGCCAGCCCCCCCGGTTCCCACTATGAGGCGAAACCGTACGTGGAACCTTCACGCTCCGCACCTGACTAGCGCTGCCGGGAGGCTCCCGAAGTCTTGCAAGAACTCGACCTCGGTGATGACCTCTTCGCCCTGCCCGCAAACCGCTCCACCGCCGCCGTCGGTCATAGAGACTTGCACATCGGTGACGGTGTCCATCGCCTCCAAAAGCTCTTCGACGTACCCGTAGGAGGCGTTGAAGGGGATGTCCGAGCTGGTGACACCCCTGAAGGAGAAGACGAAGCTCCCCGAATCCGCTTCGCAGACGATGCGCATCACCTCGTTTTGCTGTCCCTGAAAAAATTGTTTGTGTGTGCGGGTCGTCATGTTGGTGAACGCTGAGTCAAACAGACGATGCGCCTTACGTCGGTATGTTGTCCCCGAAAGTTCATGTGTGTGTACGTGCCTCGTCAAGATACGGTTTGTTTACGGTGAGTCAAGCTTTGGAGGTGCTGGATTGGAGAACGAGTTCGGAAGTCTGCGGTACGTCGACCAAAGCAGGGTCTCAACCTAGGGAATGTTTCGCGGGGCATGCACGCCCTCCATAACGGTTCGAATGTGTAGAGCTTCTCACGTCACACCCTCTATGTCTCGTCAGTCTTTGGTTTTTTTCGGCCGTACCAAACGGGAGACAATGTGGCACCGATTGCCAGGTGAAGAGCTTTCCTGCCGTAGCTAAATACAGTATTCTTTGGCGAAACAACCGCCCACAAATGCATCCTGCTCTTTTTCTGTGGCTGTTGCTCCAGGAATGCAGCGCGTATGTATGCGATGCTCTCACCGTCGTGAACGGGTCGTCTCCCCTCGGACACTCCAGCTGGCTGCAGTCGTGGCCCATCCACCCCGGGTCGCAGACGCAGCCGTGCAAGACGTCCGCGTCCCACACCGACGTGTACACGACATTCGGCCTAACGAGGACTCTCCCATCCCACTCCGAGGCTGCCTCGGACATCGACAGGCACTTCCCATGCCCGGAACAACTTGATGGGCACTCCACTACGGTAGTTCAGAGTGACGTAGACCGACCGTGGTGCGATTCTGTAGTCCATGTACATTCTACACGAGGATGCTTTTCCTTGTGTGCTTCATGTAACGCCTGGCAAGCACACAGAGACCACATACTTTGCAGAGCTCTTACAGCAGTGCCACGCTGATTGACAAGCTAGAAGGACAGGCAGCAAGCACGAGGACGAAATATAGACTACAGTATATACTTTCAGCTTCACAGTAGACATGCGACTCCGAGCAATTTCTCAACAGCAAGAAACTTACATCGATCGCACGCCTGACCGGCGAACCCTGTACGACACTCGCAAAGGCCAGTTATTCGGTTGCAATTCCCCATGTTTGAGCACTCGACACCGTCCGCGTGCGCCACGTTCTCCGCAGACGGGAAGTCGGTCCAAGCTCTCCCCACCGGACAGCGTTCTTTGCCGACACCACCAATAATTACATGGAGGTGCTCAAGGGTGCATCGGCAGCAGCAGTATAGACTAGTGCCGGAGCGTGGATCAAGGGAGGCAACAGCCCATGTACTTCAAAGTTAGGTCCACAATGGTGTATGCATGCCTTAGTTGAGCAATCAAACTGTTCTCTGCTGATCACCCGTACATCAGAGGGACAAACATGCCGTTTACCATGAAGTACGAAACTTGAGGTAACATCGTCACAAGTAGGGAGTGAACACACGCCTTTGGTTACAGTTCTATGGTACACGTTAGACTCACTCAAAGAGCAGTCCGGTCCACGGAATCCACTGAAACACGAGCAGGTCAGGTTTGAATTTATTATGCCTCGGCCATTGCAGAAGGTATCTTGAATCTCCGTCTGGCCGTGCACCCCCACATCGAGTGCCAGCAATCTCCACAAAAGGCACCACAAGGAGAACCCCCAGGCCATGAAAAGGCTTGGGCAAGATCTGTCAATATCCTCGAACAACCTGCAGTGTTCACGTCCAGCAATTGGCTGCTGTGTGTGAGATGGATCCTCCAAGCGGATAGGAGAGGATCTATCTAATGCTCGTCCCGCACCCCGCACGAAAGAGGCGGGAGTGTCAGAGGTCCTGAACAGGCGTTTGCCCGCCGCGGACGGTTGCAGATTTTGCACGCACGCGCATAGAGCCAGCGAGTGCGTGTGTTTACTTCGTGTCGTCTCTCTCTCTCTCTCTCTCTCTCTCTCTCTCTCTCTCTCTCTCTCTCTCTCTCT